ATAAGAATTGATGCTGCATTCGAAATGGGTTTCGACTATTGACCCCCCGAAATCTAATTGAGCTTCAGAGCGGGGTCTGTGTGACTTGATACATCGAGGTATACTTACCTAAGTAATATAACACATCCTACTCTAGATGTTATGCATCCGCTCACATTTCCACCAGATTAAATTGGAACAAATTTGTGGCACATCACAACTAAGTCCCAGTGTCCGCATCTTTAAACAACGTCATACCAGTACATGCATCTACCTCCAAAGCAAGATGTAGTCACCCACCTTGACCCGGAAGGTGCGATTACTCAAAAAGGCTACAATCCAGTCCCTGGCTCTACCTGCTATGCCTAGGCTCCGAACCTCGAAGTCCAACAACCGATGGCTGACAGAGTCAAGTGCTTTACAGAAGTCTAAGTAGCAGACTTCTACATTTTTCTCCTTATCCATACGTTGAGTGACCTCATCTAGGAATACAAGCAGGTTCGTAAGACATGATTTCCGTTGCACAAGGCCATGTTGTGCTGGGGACAGGAGTCGATTGCCAGTCAGATGTAGGCAAATCTGCTTTCTGATTAGTCGCTCTAGGCACTTACACAACACTGACATTAGGCTAACGGGTCTGTAGTTTTCTGCTTTATATTTTGGTCCAGCCTTGTTCAGTGCTACCACGGTAGCTGTACGCCAGTCCTGGGGTAGCGTAGCATTTTGCGCTGATTCCCTAAAAGGTACAGTCAGCGGCCCGGCTAGCAACCCGGCCAGCGGCTGCACTATGGCTGGATGAATTCCATCCGGACCTGCTGACCTGTGCTTGTTCAGCGCCTGGAGTTCCCGATGTACGTCTATTTCACAGATGACAATATCAGCAAACTCTGGCGTATCAGCTGCCCTGATAAACCCAGGTTATCATGGTCGACTGAGGTCCTATACACGCTCTTGAAGAACTTAAGTGGGTTTCCGCTTCATCGCGATTATCCGTAGCTATGCCTCCATCGCATTAAGCCAGTGCTCCTACACTCTCCCGTGTGCGTGCGTTGGCTTGTACGTCTTCTCTTCCTGATTTCCCTTCTTCAGTTGCAATACTTACTTCGGCAGGTAATACTGCCGCGCCCGTCACGAAGAGAAATCGAAGCGGCCGTACGCTGCGACAACCCATTACATGTATTGGATACGTAGGCTGTACATATTTTGTAAAAATTCAAACTATTTCTAAGTGACACTTCCTGTACATTTCACCTTAACAGGCACTTTGTAGAGATGACACCTACCCTGGAGCAGCGCGTTAGAGTTTCAGGATATTTGCGATCAATCAATTTTGAACGCTGACGTCAATGACACGCGCATGGCTTCTGAATACATGTCATTGGTGGTTGGTGCCAGCCCATCCAAGACAGTGCAGACAGAAGCAGAATTATGCAAGCAGTACTGCAATCTGATTGGTGGAGGCCTAAACAAACAATAATCTTTTTTTGGACATATTATTTAATCGCCTTTATTTCTTCCAATGAACGAACTACTACTTACTACCATTCTTATGGCCTCTTCCTCGCGTCTCGTTGTCGTGCGACTTTGCGAATCCGTGCCATTGTGGTCCAGTGCTTCTGAGATCCGGTCCGTGATAGCTGATTGTTGATTTGGGTCCTGTGATTCACAGTGCGTGGCTGACGCTCCGAATTCCGTGCGTAATACTACTACTACAATCATTACAAATTGGCGTCGCCTGATGGAGCTTCCAACAATTAAGCAACTGAACCTGCAGGCAAGCTCAGTTGAGATGGAGCAATTGGTTGAACGGTTCAAGCTGTGGTGCAGTATTCGCAAAGGTGATGCACAGAATCAATCAGCCCCATTTCTTACTGCTGGCGGCCGTGGCCTCTACTCCCTGTTGAAAAACCTGGCGTTCCCTAAGGTTCCAGCCAAACTACCATACGAGTCCCTGAGATTGCTGCCGCTCAACCACCTACTTCCCACTAAATTCCAAGCAAACGAAAGGGCCAAATTCAACTCCATGATTCGTGCTGATCATGCTTCCTGCCGTGAATTCATCCTGCAGCTGAACAAACAAGAGTCACGCTGCAACTATGGCGATCGCCTGTAGAACAAATGTGTGACCGCTTGGTGGCAGGCATCAAAAATCTTACTCTTCAACGGAAGTTGCTGGAGAAGAAATATTTAACTTTCGCCGATGCCTGCAAGATCTGTGAGCAACACGACAACCTGATGAAAGCCACTTCCAGAAAATCAGTAAAATCATTCCAACGGCAGAAGACACGACCGAATCGACCTCCAGGGGCCAAGTGTACACGGAAGCTGTAGCAAGACCCTTCTGGCAACGAGAAATGTATCAATCCGTGTTTGTCATGTGGAGCATATCATCTGCGCTCCAACTGCCGCTTCCAAAATGCCAAGTGCCATGAATACGGGAGAGTGTGTAAACAGCCCTGCTGCAATCTTACACAGCCAGTGGCAGAGAATGACACAATCCTTGTGCTCTCTACCATCCGAAAGCCAATGCACCAAATTCCTATACAGAGAAGTAACATTACAGTCCGGCATAACGCAAAAAATCATTGTTGACACTGAAAGCACCGAATCTATCATATCTATTGAT